AGTCCATTGCACTGAAACTGAAATAAAAATGAAATATTGGACCATATGATAAAATCACCAAACTACAATTTAGGCTAATTATCTTGAATGACGATTTTTGGCATGACATACAACATCATGTGTTGCACATGCACGCGTGCGCACGCGCGCGCGCACACACACACACAAATCATGCTAAAATATAACAAAGACCAAGTTGTTTCAATTTTTGGATGTGTTTCTCTTAGAAAAATTCTGAGTTACATGAAATGTGCTGCTAGAATTAAAGATGAAGGGAAGCATTATTTTGTTGTTGATATTATCTATCTATAAGTTTGGAGGGCGTGATAATTCATTATGTAGGATATACATATTCATTAGATTAGTCACTTTTGAGATAAAGGACTACAACCATAGGGTAAAATTTGAAGATGCAAAAAGATATGCTTTACTGTTATTGTGAGACCTTGAGAGTTGTTCCCTTGACTTATTTCATATGCCTTGTGTTGCGGTGAGAATTGGATATCAAGCTATTGATTAACTTGAACCACAAATATTTAAGATTCACCACCGAACTTTATTTTATCCAAGGAAAAGGGAAAAGATCGTATAAAACCCTAAGTTTGCAATGTAACAACAATGTTAAGAGATTATGGGGTTCGGGGGTTGGTTATACCTAGGGAAGGTGTTAGCATCCTAAAAATCTACAGTACTTTATAGGAACCTCTTGCTAGTATTTGTGTTATTGTCTGCTATTTGCTTTGAAAGTCTTATATTTGGGTTTTATGGTGAGGATAGGAACCTAAGGGTTTATTTCTAAGTATGCTCGCCAAAACTTCGCAGTCTTGTGCCTATATATCCTTACAAGGATGAAATCAGAGTATTTGTAGTTCACCTTACTAGGGATGAATGAACACTTGATTATGATTAAGGTATAAAGGGGGAGGTAAGTGTTATGGTCTTAACACTTACTTGACTTAACAAAGTCAAAAAAGGTATAAGTTCTACCCTAAGTCTAAGTTGAAAACCTAATGACTATAACAAGGTCAAGGGGAAATGGGTATTGCTAAGCTACCTATGACATTGAGTAAATAGACAGTCTTTCCCTTGGACTAAGGAACAAAAGGCAACTTAAGGATGGAAACTAACAAGCTAACATCACTTGGGGGAGATAACTTTACAAAGTTGAAAAAGTATGAACAAATGGATGAAATGAATAAGCATGACATTCAAACATGATATCATTTGCAAGTATTCAAAGTAACATTCAAACATGATGTTAATTGTAGTATGACAAAGATAAGACATATGGTTACAACCAAAGTAAGAGAAAAAAATGTGACAACATTTAAAGTAAAGATTTGACAAAGTCATAAAGGATAGGATAACAACCAAAGATATATTCAAAGAAGTTACAAATCATGGTGACAACCAAGGTAAGTACATTCAAACATAGATGTTACAATATCTAACTAATTATGAAGTATAGTTCTAACAAGACTGAAGCACCATGGATAACAAGTTTAAGTTCAAAATTAGGGCAAGCATGCATTAGGGTTTACAAACACCACTTAATCATGAATACAAGACAAGTATGAATAAGTTATAACAACACTTAATCATGAATACAATTTAAACATTTCAACATGGATAAGTCATTACAATACTTAAGCATGACAATATTCAAAGTTCAAGTATGACATGTATAAGTTATAAAAATACTTAAACATGGATGAAAACAAAGTTCAAGTTAACATGTGAAAGTTATAAAAATACTTAAACATGGATCAAAATAAATTTCAAAGTTGATGGTTTCATGGATGAGGATCAGGTTATGCATAATTGTAACTGGATGGTTTCATGGTTTGGTTGGAATTCAAGTTAATGGTTTGATGGTTCTCATGATCCCAATGCAAGGTAAAAGAATATCTTGAGTGGTTGGAATCTTTTAGATCTTGATTCTTCAGAAGAAATAAATTGGGGTCTCAAGGGAAACCAGCTTTGTGATTAAAGTCACTTTTCAAGAGTGGCATTGTGATCTTTATGGCCAAAACCTCCATAAATGGAATGAAATTTTAAATTAATGCTCAAACCTTTGTGTAGTGCCTCGAAAACTAGTGCAAACTTCTGATTAAAGGTAATTAAGAATCAACATGGCATGCAAAGAAAGATCATGCATGTTTAAATTGATTTGATATGGATTTGTTTCAAGCCTTGCCATGAAAAATGTCTTAAAGTTCAAGTGTGGAAGGCCATCTTTCTCTCTTCGAAACTCCTAGCTAAGAAATGATATGGAGGAGTTCTTGTACTTTGTGAAAAGCTCCAAACATACTCTATAACTTTCATGTTTGAGGAATTTCTTGAATCTCAAGGGATCATAGTGAAAACTGACTCCAAAGATTGATACTTTTGATGAACAAAAATTGGCATTTGAAAAATTTCTAAGTGTTGAAAGATTTTTTTACAACTTGATGGCTCCATAACTCAAAATCTATGCACTTTTTGGAGATTAACCCTCATTGATAAAGTTGTAGTATGTTTCAAGGGCTTCAATTTAATCTTTGGAACACAGAAAATGAATGTCTATATTGAAAGTTATGACTCTCCAAAGTTGACACAAAGTTAGGGTTTTTTTCCCGCACTTGGAAAAAAATTCAAGTTTCTTAACTTTTCCCCTTTTGCAAGAAACCTTCCAATCCTTTATTTTTCATGCTCAAAATCATTGATCAAATATTTTTTGATGGAATTTAACTTGATGGCTTCAATTTTGACCAAAAATCCCAAAAGTCAAAGGGTTAACTTTGTCAGATAAAACTTGTGTATCAGATGAATTCAACCGTGTGATCTTCAATGATTTTGCATTTTTGAACTTTTCAAATATCATGGATTGACTTCAAGGATTTATTTGCGTGTCTTGAATCATGTCCCAAGGCTTGGGGTCTGCTTTGATCAAAAGTCAAAGGCACAATTGACTTTTCTTGGTAAAACCCTAATTTGGGGCCATATGAAATTGTGCTTTAAAGAACTTGTGACAAGACCAATTTGAACTTGATTCTTGATGGAGATAACCCTATTGAGTGTATGCACACTTGGTAGGTTGATGATCAATCCAATACATTGATTGATAAAATAAAGATCCTCCTAATTCTCTTGATTCAAAACCTTGGGTTAACAATGCAATGTGATATGCTCATAGAATGATGATGACATTTAGGGTCAAAATTTGGGGTATGACACCTTGATGTTATATACATACATCATTAGATCACCTTCTACCTCATCTGTCACGACAGATCTCATCAGACACAGACATAAAATATGAACTTCATTAGATGGGTCATTGCCCAACATGCCTTTTAATATTTATTTAACTTCTTTATCCTCACTTATATTTTATATAACTCCAACCTGAATATGTGACAACTCAATTATTGTTACCATTTTGTTCACGGTTATTCATAATATTTTAATGAAATAATTAATTTGAGTTATCTCAAACTCTATTAGATCGATACTCTTACTTTCACATTACTTGCTACTATTTGACTTTGTATACTTGCACATAACAATAGTTCACACAACAATAGCCCAAGCCATATTTTCTTAAATAGAAAAAATCTAGACTTTTTTAAAATCATATTTACTTAAAAAAGGTTAGATCACATGCCATTTAAAAATGTCTTTTAAGTCTATCAGACCGATCTATTTAAATAAATACGGATAATTTTATTATTATTATTATTATTATTATTATTATTATTATTATTATTATTATTATTATATTTTATATTTTGAATATACAAAAATAAAGTTTAGTTATCTTGAAGAAGTTATGAAAATAAGCTAAAAAAATAAATAATCTCACAAAACTTATCCTACTACCTAAACTCGAATAATTCAATACAAACAAACATTTAGTCTAATTGTTTTTTAATTTATTAATATATTTAAACATTAGATGAAATGCATATTTACATATGTTTAAATGAAATAGTCTTTTAAGTAGGCTAATAAGCCAACCAGCCTTTTGAAAAAGTCAGATTCAAACTTAAAAATAAATCTTTGACTGACTACAGACTATACTTATACTTTAAATTTTTTAGTTGACCAGACATCCAAAGTCTAGATCGGTCTAATCTATTCTAAATCCTACTCACTCATACCTTACTCGATATTTTCTTACTGACTTATATGTTGAAGTCCTAACATTGCATGTCAGACTCTCTCCACCGCACCGAAAACTCAAGTCCACTCTAACGAAACACCATTTCCTGTTATGAACCAATCATAAAACAAATCCACTTTTTTAAAGAAATATAGTAGTAGATATATCAGAAGTATGGCATAAAATGCAATTAATTGAGCAAAATGTGTAAAACCCTCTCTTGATTCAGGTGAAATTACTTATAAGATACGTGAGAAGTTCTCATTTATAAACCAATTAGGCAACAAACCAAAATATTCTCTCAAATAGAGACTATCTTCCTTTCAAATATTCTTTTATCTCCAACTCATTCCAAAAAGCTCACCACCATAACCTTATCAGGCTATCCCTTTCATGGAGTATGGTAACAATTGATATTGATACTCCACTCTCAAAGCAACCATAAATATATATTTGGAATATGTCTTCAAATTGACAGCTATAGCTCATGGAAATAAATTCATTCTAAGAGGTATATGCTTGAGAAATGAGAACTTTTTCAATAACAAAGAAAGAAGCATTAATATTGTGTGCATTGTCTCTTTCTTATTAGTATTTTTATGGAAGAAACTAACATCAATAGAGACATTTGCTTAAATGAGAAATTTTATGGAAGATAACTAGAGATCATAAGAAGAAAACTAAAGAAATCTAGCTAGAAGAAATCATAAACAATGGGGATTTAGTATTTATTTTCACAAAATCTACACATAAGTATCATTTTCTTTTTGAATCATTTATGTTGTGACTATCCTAAATCCTAGCTAATCAACCAAAATTCCTAGCTACCTATTCTAATGAATGAGATCTTAAGAATTTAGTGCTGTGAAAGAATTCCAAGAAGACTCATCCTAACATCAATCAAACATTTATACAATTCTTTTACTCTTTCATCAATAACATCAACTACATCCTCCAATTCCTTGCACTTTTTCTTCAATTTCACAACACAACATTTCATCTCGTTTTCCATCTTCATCTGTTCTTTCAGTTCTCTTGCTGCATCCACCATTTGCTGCAACTCACTCATACATGAACTCTTTTTCTGCAACTTCTTCTCATCAACACATGCTTCTGCTTCTTTTGTCAACTCTTGCAGCAATCTCAACCATGAAGAACTTGTAGGCTGAGAAAGTTTCATCATTGGCAATTTTTCACTTTGTGAATCAAATGACAAACCAAGTTCAAGAAACCTTAAACACATCAATGTCACAGCCTTAGAACCACACACAATCTTGCTCATTTCTGTTTCATGATGACATAGTTTTTGCCTTAACAATTTTTTCAATCTATTGCTTGATCTCTTTTCTACTACAATTTTAAATGATGATGAATTCAAAAGTTCCATTGCACGTGCTGTTGCAACATTATTAGGCTTCAATGGACTACAATTATTATCAACTAAATGTACAACAACTTTCAATTTGTCTAGATAATTATAAATGTTCTCAATTTTTTCAACAAAGTAATTGCATACATCAAGAAACTCAACGTTGTCTTCTAAGTACTTATCAACGTCTCCACGATCAGAATAATCTCTATAAGAAATGTTCACTAGTGAATCTAATGTAATTTTTTGAGTTTTGATGGCAGCATCAAGCAATGGAGCCAACCCAATTTCTCCACCAAGGGTGTCGAGTTCCGCTGTGAGTTCTCGGTTGAATCGGGTTTTTTCCGGTAAAGGAGCTACTGCCGCCGGAGCTTTGCGCAAGAGAAAGCTCTTTAGGATGGTTGGTGCTTTCATGGTGTGCTAATATTTTGATATTGTTTTGATAAAGCACACAAGAGAAGGTTGAAGACAGAAGAGAAGATGAGCATATATATAGAGATGAATAAGCATATTAAAAAAAGACATGTGTCAATGTTACATTAAAGACAAAAAAACAACAGAACAACAGAAAAGTGAATAGAATCAATAAAGTTGATTCTATAGCTGCAATTGAGGTGTGCAAAAAGGGACAATGGAGGACCTAATTATATAGAATTTTATTGGTTTAGTCGTTGAAAAGGATTCAGAAAGGACCCACCCCACATTTCTTTTGTTTTTTTGCGGTGTAATTAACAATTAAGCAATGTATTGGTGAGATAATAATTTGCTGAAAGTGAGCTGTAATGAGAGTGCCTGGTGCGGCAGGACACTACCATGTACGAAAGGAACATTATGGGTCTTGCTTCCAATTATTGCCACACTCTTTTGTATTATTTATTTTATTTTTAAGGGTTAAATATGTTATAGGCTCTTATAAATATTGTAAAATTCAGTTTTAGTTTTTCTAACATTTTTGTTTAAAGAATCATCTTAAAGATTTTTGTCCCTAATTTTTGTTTCTGCCGTGTATTTCACTTAACGGCATCCTACGTGGATGTTGGTTTGACATTCTTTTTTAATTATTTGGACCTGTTTGAATTTTCACGTATGATAAAAAACCACACATCAGATAACATGTCAGCCTAAATGGTGAATCTCTAACCTAATTTCATCAAATTCACATTTATACACCCCCTTTAGTCTCATTTCATCTTCACATTCTTGTCTTCGTCTTCTTGCTTTCCATTTCTCCAGCTTCCATTTGTCTTCGCCCTTTTCTTCAGCTTCTATTTGTCTTCACCCTCTTTCAACTCCTTTGATGTCTTATTCAAGGACAAGTCCTAAGAAACCTGTTAGCATGTCTTTGTCATCTGTGCGAAGCCTCCGTCGAGGAAGGAATTGTGGTTGTGATGCTCGTATGATTTCATACGCTTGCAAGAATGGTCGCAATAAAGGTAGGATTTTCTGGAGATGTCCTTTTTGGCAGGGTGAAGAAAATTGTGATCTTTTTGTATGGGATGAAGATCTTATCGAAGAAGATGATAATGGTTTTGATCAGGTAGAAAATTACAGGATGAAGGAATTGGATACGGTTGATTTGTTGAGAGAGTTGTACGGAGGTTCAAAAAAGAAGAACATGAAGATGCAAGCAAAATTGTGATCTGAGGCATGGGCTGGAAAAATCAAGCTGATATGCTTTGTAGTTTCTGTTATGATTAATGTGTATCAATTTATGAAATGTAATTGTTGAATTTAGAATGATCAATGTAATGGAATTTTGGATGATATGCTATGTAGTTTCTGTCATGATATGCTTTGTAATGGAATTTTGGATAATCAATGTAATGGAATTGTGGATGTTCAATTTAAAATAATTGTGTTTGATCACTGTGTTTCTGTGTCTTTTTATTGGATTTGTGTTTTCATTATAATTTGTCTTCTAATTGACTCATAACATCTAAAATTTGACTTTGTAACATCTAAAATTTTGGTATGATGTTCCCTTAAATTTTGCCTCATTTTTGGCATTATGTCCCCTAAAACTTTGCCTCACTTTTGGCATCATAATTTACAAACAAACTGACATGAAATAAATTCATTAAAAACATAGGAATTCAAAGTATTCAAAGTCAACACATAGACTTAATTTGATCCAAAAGGATGACCAAAATTACTAGTCATTGTATATTGAGTACAAATGATCATAGGTTATACCATAGACAAAAAACACACTTAACCAAAGTCTACAAAACACAGTTATGGTAACATAGCCGGAAAAAAAGATCATTCAACTTCTTCAAACTTCATCCTCATTGAGTCAAGCCTTTTTGAATTTCTTCCCAACTTTTTCTCCCCTTTTGTTTTGGTTATTTTGATGTATCATCTTCAGTGAGCACAACTGAATCTTCAGGGTGTTTTCCAGGCCCCTTGATGTCTTTTGTTATTATAGTCCTGAGTCTTTCACTCTTTCTGGTTTGACTCACAACTCCTAGGACTTTCTTCTTCTTTGGTATCATAGACTTGACCTAAAATATAACCATGAATAAACCTTAGTGACATAACATTGACCTAAAAAACAACCATGAATAAACTGGACCTAACTTACAGGATCATTGAAGATTTCCTTGACCTTTCCTGGATGTTTGAATGCTTTGGAGAGTTTTACTTTTGGTGCACTCCCAAAGAAGGTCTTCACACAATCAGACATTGAAGGATTTGTATTTACAGCAGCCTGTTTGATATGGCTTAAGTAAACTGTAAGAGGTTGAATGTTGTCGCAACTGCGAAAAACACCCAGCAGAAAAAATAGAAGAGTCTCCACCGGTTGTTATTTATTCTGACGAAGGAAAAGGAAACGATCAAAGAAAACCTCAAAAAAAGGGAAAAGACATGGTCTCGCAACCAAATCCTGGGTTCGGGAGTCGATTATGCGAGAGAAAGGTATTAGCACCCCATCGCATCCGTTGTACTCAACGGGATCCATGCTTGTTGTCTAATTAAAGAGTGTGTTATCTAAAGCCTAATGGTAAACAGAAATGAGAACGAAAAAGGAAAAAAAACAAAAGGAGGCTCGATAGGAATTCGCTATCCTATGCCTACGTATTCCCTCGTGCAATGAAAAAGTCATAGTCAACGTAGTTCAGAAGACTACGAGTAAAAGGAGAAAGTTGCTCGCTAGGACATCGTTGTTTTCTGCCTACGTATCCTCATCTGGTATGAGAAATCAGACTAGCCGTAGTTCAGCTCACCACAGGTTTCTTAGTGTTTTTTATGAGCGACGTTAAGTTACCATTCCACTAGTTAGGGTCGATGCCTGTTTGTGATAGAACGGAAAAATAACTTACTCTTTCTGAAAATGGTCTGACAAACGATCCCGAAGGATGAAAATGATTTAAATTTGTTTTTGAGTTTTAGAGAAGTGAATTAATTTGGTTTGAGATTCACAATGCACTAAAGTCTATGATATAGGAGCGAATGCGTCGAATGATAACTCGCAGATGGGACGTACGCTAAACACTCTAGACGAAGCAAGGAGAGACCCCTCACTCATTATTTCCCATATACTTAAGACTCGTGGCACACAATGTTCGTCGTATTTATTAAGTGTTTTAGAGTTGTTTTGAGACGGAAGAAAAGAAAGACGCGCAGAAGGTCTAAAGGGAAACTCGGTCCTAACATTATCATGCAAAATGGCGCTAAGGTCGGGATGCGGAAGGAAATTTTATCCTAATTGAAATTATGGCTACCCAACAGTGGATGTTATCACGGATGTTATGACATCCACTATAACAATGACTGCAGAACTTAAACAAGTTGTAAATGGAAAGCAGTAAATAACTCAAGTAATTGTTCACCCAGTTCAGTGTAAACCACACCCACTATTAGTAGAATTAATTCAAAGTCAAACAACTCGTTTGCACTCTTCACTTAAGACCTACCCAATGACACTTCAACCTAGAAACTACTAGACCAGAGTTTCCCACTCACTCCCCCTCAATCACCACAGTGATATCAATACACAATTACAATTGAGATATGAAGACACACTTCAAACACACCTTGATCTTGCTTCACAGCTTTGATCAAGAGACACAACACTCTTGTTAAAAGCTTTGAGTGACACAATGAACACAACAGTTCATACACTCTAAACCAATGCAATTATACATCAGACAATTGCTTAGCACACAAGGAGTCCTAAGACTCCTAAACACACGTGAAGAACAAAGTTCTTCACTCACAAAAACACACTCTCCAATCTCTCTCTAGAAGCTCTGCTTTATTAGGAATGATCCTTCTGTTATTTATAGCAGCAGACTTGCTTTTGGCCTTCATGGAGAAACTAGGTTTACCCAAGATAAACCTCTCTTCATGAAGCCGCGCACATCCAATCATTAGGTCAGGAGTCTTCTATGTTATCCTCAGCAATTCCTGTTATGTCGCCTAAGATAACTAGGCTTCCTGAATTGTTTCCTGAAGTATAGCCTGAGCTAATAACATAAAAACTAACCCTGCGCGCCCTGATGTCATACGCTTGATGTCATAACATCCAGCATGACATTTAGCTTCACTTACTCTTAGCTCTCCCTGCAGAACACTCTTCATTTATGTCATAACATCAGTTATGACATTCATACATACTCTAATGTTTTGCCATAAAATGCAGCCAATCAAAAGCATCTACAAACTCCTCCTTTGGCAAATTTTTGGTTAAAACACTCTATTACAGTATCAGAGATTACAAGCAGCAGAAGTCATATAATTTATCATGCAGGAAAGCTAGCTAAAACACACTCACACTGTTAGCTTTTAACTTCTCAGGATCAACCTGTTCACAAATAATCATCTGTTAGTCAACCCTACAGATGTCACAATGTTTTGAGTAACATTCTGAGTTACTCCCCCTCCACCGATGCATACCACATCAGCTGTACACAACCTGCAGTCACACACAAATTATCCATGCTTTTCTGGATGTCAAGACATTCAGGATGACATTCTGAATAACACAATCACCTGTTACATCCTGTGCTACTCCCCCTGAAATAGTGCACAACCATACACACATTCTGCAAACACCCTGCAGATACACACAACTAGCAGCTATCCTACTACTAGGTTCCACCAAGGAACATACATATCTAACATGCATTCCTACACTCATTAGGAACTCACACATCACTAACAGCATCAACTGTTATCACACATGCACATTAGCAGCAACACCTGCAACACACTTGTAGCAGTAACTCAGCCAAGTCTTCCACCTGTGAGAGGTACACTTCTCTAACCTGCTGTTACTACCTGCTGTTATCTAACACTCTCTCCCACTTTTTAGCCATAAATTAAGATCAAACTAATAAAATAGTATAGATCATAATGAGTAACATTACACATGTTTGGGGTCATTACAAAAACTGCTCATGAAGAGCATC